TATAAACCTAAAAATTTACAGCCAATTTTGAAAGAGATGCATCTTAGCTCTGGAAGTTATTAGTTATTACATCAATGCTGTTGTAATGAAATGCTTCTTCTAAGTATGTGGTTATTAAATAAATAATTTTTTAAAAGAAGCCGAAAAGTTCTTGCCTCTTAAAGTATATTTCTCAGAATGAAAGGTCTTTTTTCTTTTTTAAAAATATTTTTCTTCTGTGTATGAGTATATTGCCTACATGTGTGTTTAAGTGTACCTGTATCATGCAATGCCCACAGAGGTCAGAAGAGGGCATTGGATCCCCTGGAACTAGAGTTACTGGTGGTTGTTAGCCACCATGTGGGTGCTGGGATTTGAACTCGGGTCTTCTGTAAGAGCAGCCAGTGCTCTTAACTGATGAGCCATCTCTCCAGCCCCTGCCTTTTTTCTTTTTGAATAAGACTTACAATTTATCAAGTTAGATACATTCATTTACTTTGCTAATTATTTAATGAACAAAAACAATAGTATCACCAAGTATTAACATGTATTATGAAATGGCAACAATGTTTTCTTAAATTTAATATGTGCTAGAGTTAACAAATAGAACAAAATAATCCTGAGACAAACCATAGCACTTACAGGGACTTGGTGTATATAAACAAAAGCAACAAACCAAAAGGGGGAGAGGGGGAGAGGGAAACAGGGAGAGAGGGAGAGAGGGACAGGCAGGGAGAGAGGAAGAGAGGGAGAGAGGGAGAGAAAGGGAGGAGGGAGAGAGAGGGAGAGAGGGAGGGAGAGGGAGAGAGGGAGGGAATATTACTGCAAACAAACGAACTTGGGGCTTCTGATCTGCCAGGGGATTCCCCCAACTCTCCTGCCCTCTACCTTAGGTATCTTAGCAATGACCTAACTAAGAATACCAAGTTGACTCATCAGAAAAGATTACCTTAATTTTTACATAATCCAGTACATGACTCCCACACTAGAACCTGCCTCTCAGTATTTAAAGGGACCAGAGGCCAAGTCTGTGGAGTAACTAGCTTTACCTCTTCAAGCATGTCCCTCCTTTGGATGAATCCACTTGCATACTGCAGACAGTCTAAGCATTTCCCATAAATCTGGCTGACATCTTCCCTGTATGTGGCTAAAAGCTTTTGTTCATGTCCTTAGTCTGCTTGACAGGTACCAAAAGTAGCTATCAGAGGAAAATTAAAACCAAATTCTTTACCTTGTACCATTAACCAGAAAGTTCCAGGTGGACTTCATAATTATGCACAGAAAAACTTAAAATATTTCCAAAGGAAGAAAATACATGTTATAACTAGTCCTTCAATTAGGAAGAATTAGCTATCAAAGCATGAGAACAATGTAAGAATCATCGAGGAAATAATCTTTTAACTGTATAGAAAATGTCCCAAAATATTGCAAGTAAGACTGCAAAGGCAAATGCCAAACTGGGCAAATGTGTACTTTTTAAAACTCTAAGCACTTACTTAAATCCTCATATTGCAGTTTTAAGTGGGCAATGAACTAATATGCAAGAGTCAAAATAACACAAAAAACACATACAGTACAATAAAACATGTCAAATGCTCTATCTTGGGGCTGGGGAGATGGCTCCGTTGGTAAAGTGCTTGCTACACAACATGAGGACCTGCCTTTGAGTCCCAGCTCCCATTTAAAAAGCCTAGCAGTGCACACCCATAACCCCAGCACTGCTGAGGCGGAGCTAGGCAGAACCCTGGGGCCCCCTGGGACTCCCCGGTCAGCCAGTCTTGAACTCCAGGCCAATGAGAGACCCTGTCAAAGCAAGATGGATGGCTCCTGAGGAGCAACACTCAAGGCTGACCTCTGTCACACACACGCACACGCTTGCACATGCCCGCACACATCCACACAAACATGTACCCACATGCACAAATACATACACATGTGCACATACACAAAAATAAAATAAAATAGTCTCACCTCACCACAATCTAAGAAATATAAATTAAAACCATTAATTTTCACCCATCAAATTGGACAAAGTAAAGGAAACAGACCTATTAAAATCACATTTTTCAAGCAATATGTAAAGATCAGGGAAAATTATAATAAGATGTCCAGTTAAAATGCAGAATATATAACTTCTCTATATATAATCCAAATTATGTGAGGAAATTTTTTTAAACAGAAAAAAATGTACAGGGGTTACTAGGATGAGCTGGAGGGAGGTAACAGTGGATGGACACAGTCAAAATACATTGTATGAATGCATGAAATTTTCAAATAAAAAGTATTTCAAAATTAATAAAAATATACAAGTGATTTTTGTTTTCTTCTTCTATTTTGTGTTTTTTCAAGTCTCATATACTGAACATTTTTATAAGCAAAACATATTAGCAGAAAGAGATGAGAGTCTATCCTCTGTGTGACAGGAAGAACAAGTGATTCGGATAAATGTATGTGAGCGAGCCAACAGCTGACATGTATCCATGCTTCCAGGAAATAAGCCTGGTCCTCAGTGTTTATCAATATAGTTCAGCCTCATAAGTTCCTGAAATATGGCTGTCCCCATTTTATAGAAGACAAACTGAGGCACAAGAAGAGAAAGAAGCTCACACAGCCTGAAGGTAGAGAAGCTGATCACTCCTTAGCGGTCAGACACCAAAGCCCACAGTGCTCAGAGGTATACCTTCCCCACCTTCTGGCTGGCTGGGCAACCGTGAAAATCATGTCATAGAGCAGGAAAAACATTCACAACATAATGAGAAAGTAGCGGGTGTGTGAAGGAGAGAGAAAAAGAGAAAAGAGGAGGACAGAAAGGACGGAGGGTAAAAGGATGGATGGGAATTAATTGTTAAATAAACATTTGTCAGAAACAGAAAGAACTGTCCCAGCGTAAGAGCAGTGTCAAAGTCCACCCTATTTGCTTTTCCAACTTCATGGTTCATTGCTTCCTTGATGACAAAGTCCTTCCCTCTCTCATGATGGCATCACATCTAGGGGTTAGGGATCTACAGCAGGGCATGTGCTCCTGGTGGGACATCTCCTGCTGGCTCACAGTGCTAACAGCAAGAGCTAAGAGGCAGCCCCCCACCTCAACTGCCTCATTTCACTCATGAGAACAACCCTGTCCACTACTATCAGCTATCTTGCCCTCAAAAACCACCCTGGAGAAGTTGGAGAGGGAGTTCAGTTGATAAAGTGCTTGCCTTGTGAATGTGAGGACCTGGGTTTAATCTCCAGCATCCATATAGAAAGCTAGGTGGGGTGTCATGCTTGTAAGCTCAACACTAGGGAGACAGAGACTGAGGATCCCTGGGGCTCGATAGTTGGCCAGCCAGCCTAGCCTAACTAGTGAGTCCCAGGATCCAGTGAGAGACTCTGTCTCAAAACACAAGGTGGACAGTACCTGATAGGGACCCTTGAGGGTGACCTCTGACCTCCACATGCCTGCTCACATATATGCACAAACCAACAATGAATGATGTTCTTCCAACAAGCCAATCCCATAATGTTCCCTATTTACCTGTCACTACCAGTTGCCTAAGACTCCTGTGAACTTGCTTTCTCAATCCACTTACCTGGCCTAATAGGCCAAGCCCCATGCTCCCTCCCACCCTTCCACTGCAATGCCATGCCTCTCATCAGTAGCACCCATGACTGAGGGCTGTCTTCTCCTTTCTCTCTGGAAAGCCTGCTTCCATACACAATCCATGTAGGAACGTGCTCTGTCTGCACCAGCACCCACACCCGCCAGCACAAGAGAAAGCAGGCTCTGCCTTTGCTATCATGTTTCCAAAATGACAACTGAAAGGAGAGAGAAAGAAAGCAAATCCCACTTGAAGCACTCATTGTCAGAAGGATTGTTCCGCCTACCTCCCCTAGAAGCAACAGCCTGGAGACAGTGTACTACCAGCTGCTGGCTCCCACTCTCTTCCACTCTGCCTGCCTGTGTCATAGAGATCTCTACCCAGGCACAGGCAAGCCACCCAGCACAGCTCTCTCTACCCCAGGCCAGCCCGCCAGGCTCCTGTGCACTTCACTCCTACCAACACCATGCTGGAAGCATCTGTGGTTTGCTAACACTCCGGCAGCCCCACCCAGCTTCTCAGCCGCATCAGAAACCACTGACCCCCATGCTCTCCTGGACCATCTTCCTAGTCGCAGCCTCATTTTCCTCACCTGAGCTCTACCACCTGTCACTCTAATCACTCTGCTGCATCTATACCCAGCTCTTTGCCTACTTATTTTCATGGAACATTCTGGTAAACCAGATTCTGTGCTTAATCAGTACCTACTACATTCAAATAGTTTGATGAGTCTGGAGAAGAGCGTGTAGCCTCGCAGACTGCACACTCCTGCTTTATATCACTGTCTATTGCACCACCCTGACCTGGTCCCAGTCTCACTCTCCTCAGTAACCATCTCTGACCCCCTTCCTTCTGGCCTCCATCCACAGCCTGCCCTCTCCTTACATCAGCAATGACCTCACTTCTCATTTTCTGAGAAAACAGAAACATCTTCCCAGCACTCCCCTCCGTAGGGAGGGTGAGCCATGCCTGGCCTAGTGCCAGGTTAACCCCAGTACAGGATTCCAGCCCTCTCATCTCAAGGACCTTCCTCCTATGACCTCCCTTTGTCTCCAGCAGCACCCATGCTCCTCCTGAATAGCATTCTCAGTGTGAATAAGCATGCTATGCTGTCTCATATCTGCAAAGCCCTCCAAGGGAATAAATAGCCAGGAAAAAGTTTAATTTCAAAACAATAGAAGGTGACGTGTAACTGCTTGGTGGTAAAGTGTGGTCAGTACACGTCTGGCCCTGGGTTCAATCCCCAGTGTCACCATCACCAAAAGAAGAAACTACAAAAAAGCAAAGTGTAGTGGCTTTTCAATATCTCATACGGTTATGTAGCATCAACCTTACCATACTTGGGTGCACACTTGAAGTACTGAACCTTCCCAACGCTTCCATTGTTTTTGCCTTCAGGTTCATCCAGTTCAATGCCAGCCCACTGCCCACTTGCAAATTCGGTTGTTCCACAAAACCTTAATGTCCCAACCTGGAGAAAATGTAAATCAAAACAGGTATTCAGTCCTATTAGTAATTTTTTGTTGTTGTTGTTCTTTTTGAGACAGGGTCTCCCTGTAGCTCCAGTTACCTGGAACTCGCTCTGTACACCAGGCTGGCCTCAAACTCACAGAGATCCGCCTGCCTCTGCCTCCCAAGTGCTGGGATTAAAGGCATGCACCACCACACCCGGCTCCTATTAGTAATTTTAAGTGCCCTATTCTTGGCAACTTTACAAGAGAAGGTTAAGATTTATTTATTTTTATTTTATGTACAGAACCATTTTGCCTGCACATATGTATGTGCACCATGTTCATTCAGTACCCACAGAGGACAGGAGTTAGATCCTCTGGAACTGGATTACAATATATTGTTAGCTGCCGGGGCAGGGGGGGAATAAAATCTGGTTAGTGCTTGCTGCCCTTGCAGAGAACCAACTGAACCATCTCTCCAGTGCCTACAGAGAAGTTTCTTTAAAGTCTCTCATAGATTCCAGAATAAGGAACATTACCAAAGATTAAACACAAAATGACAAAAGACTCTACCTGGAAAACACAGAACCCTACCCAGGATACCTTTCACCCATAGAACTGACAGAAAAAGACCATATTGCAGTGGGGGACTTCTGTTCGCCTCTTTCAGTTACCCAGACAAGTGGGCCAGATAATCAGTGAGGACACAGAAAAGGTAAGGCAGCCATGAACCAATTTGACCAAACTGACATCTATAGAACACTCCACCCAAAACCGGAGAATGTAAATGTAAAACAGAAATCACACAAAATATGTTCTCAAACCACAAAGGAGTTAAACTAGGAATCATAAGCAGGAAAATACATGGTAATTTCCAAATGTTTGGAAATTGTACTATGTAACTAAATAACCCACAGGTTATGGGGGAATAAAAACAGAAGGGAAATTAGACAATATTTTGAACTGAATGAAAAAGATACCAAAATCTATGAGATAGGGCTGGAGAGATGATGGCTCAGTGGTTAAGAGCATTGGCTGCTCTTACAGAGGACCTAGGTTCAGTTCCCAGCACCCACATGATGGTTAACAACCATCTGTAACACTATTTTCCAGGGGATCTGACACTCTCTTCTAGCCTCTGCAGACAATGCACACACTGGTACACTTACATACATGTAGACAAAACACTCATACACATTAAATAAAAACCTATGAAATGTAGCAAAAGTAGTCCTTAGAAAGGAACACATAATATCAAGTGATCATATAAGAAATGGCTGCAAAATTAATACAGCTAAGCTTTTACCTTGGAAACTATAATGTGAAGACCCAAAGTCAGCAAAAGGAAATAATACTTAAAATTAAAAGAAAAACACAGAAAAAAATCAATGAAACCAACAGCCAGTTCTTTGAGGGATAAAAATAAGCCTTTAACTGTAAACCAAGTCTTTAACCAAGAGAGAAAAGACACAAATTACTGACATTACCATCAAAAGAGGGGCATTATTACAGACCAACATTTAAAAAGATGAGAAAACACTACAAACAGCTTTTCCCATACACTTCACAAATGGTATAAAATACTGCAATTTCAGTCTGGTATGGTGGCACATGCCTTTAATCCCAGCACCAGGGAGGCAGAGATCGAGGCCAGCCTGGTCTACATAGTGTGTTCCAAGCCAGCTATGGCTACAGGGAGACCCTGTCTCAAAAAGACCAATTTAAAAAAAAAGTTACAATTCCTTGAGAGATACAAACTAAAAAGCTAACACCTGAACTGAATTTGTACTTAAAAACAGAAAAAACGCTTCCAGGCCCCAAGAGCCTCAATGGTTAATTCTACCAAAAATTTAAGGACAAAATAGCATCAATTCTATACAAGCTCTCCTAGAATTTGAAAGTAGAGAGATTGGTTTCCAGGAAGCCAACATGGCCTTGGTACTAAAATTGGTCAAAGACACAAGAAACTACAGACCAAGCTGGGCATGGTAACATGTTCCTTTAATCCCAGCACTCTGGAGACAGAAACAGGCGGATCTGTGAATTCGAGGTCATCCTGGTCTACACAGTGAGTTCCAAGCCAGCTGGGGCTATAGGGAGACCCTGTTTCAAAAAGAAAAAGAAAAAAAAACTACAAACACAAACACAAGCATCTTCAGCAAAGTTGTAGCACGTCAAACCCAGTAATATGTAGAAAGAAGAATGCATTATGACCAAGCGACATTCCTAATGGACAACATGGGAGAACTGTCCAATGCAATTCACCTATCAACAGACTAAAGAGGAAAGAAGACACATCTCAACAGATGCAGAAAAGGCCTACAGCAAATTTTAATGTCCTTCCATGATAACAGCTTCTTAGGAAGACTCAGCAAATGAGGAATGGTTGAGAATCTCTCCAACATAATAAAGGACATCTATACAAAACCTGCTAGCAAATATCAAACAGATGAATGATTTGGTGTGTCCCTCAAGGCCAGGCTGCCAACTCTTACACTATTTGCCATTCTACTGAAGGCTCTTAGCAACAAAATCAGGCCAGAAAAGTAAAATTCATATTGATTTTTTAAAAGGGAAGCCAGCGAGATGGCTTGGCGGGTAAAGGTGCTTGCTGTGAAAGCCTGACAAGCCTGAGTTTAATCCCTGGAATCACATAAGGGTGGAAGGAGAGAACTGATTTAACAAAGTCCTCTGACCTCCACACACCTACCATGGTATGAGTGCACACACACACACACACACACACACACACACACATACACACACCATACACACAAATAATTTAAAAATAAATAATTTTTTTTAAAAAAAAGGAAGGTCCAGTGAGGTGGCCCAGTGGATAAAACTAAATGTAAAACCAAACCATATACTTTTAGAAGAAAATAAAATAATTCCTTCTTGGATATTGCGGGAATTACTTTTACCAAAGTTAATCTTATGTTTTGAGATTGTTTATCATTATTCTCAGCTTATTTATAATGTAAATAAACTTACAAGGCCTTGGGCTCCTCTTGTAAACCTAAACATATAGCTTTAATCCCTCATAAGCCCTCCTTGTCCTTGACCCAAAATAATATATGCGTGTGTGTTGTGAATATCGAACACTGCAAGCAGCAAATATTCATTGAAAGCACTGAGTTCTCCCATCTGTGCTGCAAACAACAATGGGATTAGACTGATAAGATCTGTTTGGTAGGTTTATGTGCAGTTCTAGGTCAGTAGGTGTCAAAAAGGGAAACTCCCCAATAAGACAAATTCTGTTTTTCCTTCCCCATTTCATGTCTGATGTAGTTTCAATAAAGAGAGAGCAAGCCCTTTATTTCAGAAGTTTCAATAGAAATTTGAAGGAACAAGTTCTCAGAACAATTTGGGCCCCACTCCTGGTTTAAATGGATGGTAAAAGTCAGGCTGCCTTTTCCAGGTATTGCTCATCACCTTAATACGGCAGCACGGTATGTGGCATCACACCACCACAGGTATGATACTAAGCACACAATCCATAAAAGAAGAAAGTTGATAAGTTAGGCTTCAGCTTAAAACTTCTGTGCTTTGGAATGAGAAAGTCCTCACACAATGGAAAGATGGGCAGTACAGTGAGTGAAAATAAACAGGGAACAAGGTTGGTCAAAAGTCAGTAGAGTTAAGACTACTTGACTTGTACACACATGCTCATAGCAGATGCCTCTCCTTAGATACAGCTAAAATTATCCAAACTAAAAAATGAATAAAGGGGGCTGGAGAGATGACTCAGCAGCTCAGAGCACTGGCTGCTCTTGTAGAGAACCTGAGTTCAATTCCCAGCAGCCACAAGGAGGCTACCAATTGTCCCTAACTCCAGTTCCAGGGGAATCCAATGCCATCTTCTGACCTCCATGGGCACTGAACAACATGGGTACACTTACATACATGCATGCAAAGCACTCATATATGAAAAATAAAAAATATTTTTTAAATATTTAAAAATAAAAAATATTTTATTGATTCTTTGAGAATTTCGTGATGTATTTTGATCATAACCAGATCCCCTTCCCCCCATTTTCCAACCCCACCCTACTACCCCCCCACTTCATGTCCTCTATTATTATTCTTTTTTTAAAGATCTATTGAGTATAATCTGTGTTCCCCAAATACTCTTGGGCATAGGTCCATCTCCTGGAGCCTAGTGAACCTACCCAGCATAATATTCTTAAAGAAACTGGCTATCACTTGCTAATAAATCCTCAGTAACTCTCTCAAGGGTCCTTCTCAGACACAGTTACAGGAATGCTACAAAAGTTTAATGTTCGCCCTAATTTTTTTAAGCTATATATTCATTAATTTCTTGGCATTTTAATTCCAAATGGTGAGAAACTAATATATTCCTATGAGTTTGTGAATACCATTCTAATCTAGCCACCTGTCTGTAGTTCTGTTCCCTCTGTTTGTGAAGCAATTCTACCCAATCAATGAAGCTTCCTTCCAAATTCCAGAGTTCCCTGAGAAACCTACATCACTCATCCAAATACTGAGATGTAACAAAGTAGGGAAGATCAACTTCCAAGCACTCCACACTAAGCTCAACTACCTCTACACCAAGAACGCCTCCAACGAGATGGTGTATAGCTCTGCGGCACACTACTCCCTAAGCATCACAAGGCTCTGTGCTCAATCCTCAGCAGTGAAAGAAAGGGAGGAAAAATAAAACCTCCCACAAAAGGTCTTTTAAAAATAGGAAAGAAGAAAATTGGTCACAGTGAAGGTCATACAGAAACAACAGCCCTGGAAAGAGCTGGCTTCCTTGCCTTGGCCTATAGAGTCTTTATACAAAAACACACTCACAGAACTCTTTATTATCACATTTATTAACATCTGAGCCATCCTTATGAGTGACCTTTCAAGGCCAAACACTGAAGAACAGTAAAAGTGTCCTTGCTCAGCTGACAGAGGATATGCTACTGGTGGCAGGAAGAGCGGGGTGAGGCAGGGCAGTAGCAAGCCGGGAAGGCAGTCCTGGGAGGCAGGGCAGAGTTAAGGGGAGGCAGCCCTGGGCAGCAGATCAGAGTCTGGGGGCAGCAGGGACAATCCCAAGTCATTTTTCAGCTCCTGCCTCTGAATCCACACAGCAGTTCCCCTCTACTCCACTTTTCCCCATGCAAGTCTTCACTATCAAGTTCGAATAGCTCATATTCTTACACTCTACTACATTCAACAGATCTAAGTTTCACATTTTCAGCCAAGTATGTTTCTACCCACATGTGTTACATGCAGCACACACCACACACACACACACACACACACACACACACACACACACAGACCAGGGGGTGAGGACCACAGGCTTCAGTGACTACAGCTATACTTCCTGTACCTTCTGTCCTGCGATGATAACACGGTCCCCCAACTTCAAGCCAAGAGATGCCAACATGGCCTTGCTGGTAACGTGGTCACAGTTTTGAAGCATGGCCTTTGAGAGGGTACAGGACAGAGGCACTGCGTCCAAGAGCATCTGCTTGATTTCTTTGGCAGTTGCTGCAGCATCGGCCATCTCTAGAGGCATATCCACAGGGTCTGGAACAACATCCGCAGGAATCTGTCCTTTGTCATTCTACCACAGAGATAAGAGAAAACTTTCAGCTCCCGTGTACTCAGAGCATTACACAGTCATATCAGATTCTTTACAGAGGGCTTTCAAGTCTGATGCATTTATCATTTATTCATTCAAAATTACTTACTGAACACTTTCTCTGTTCAGTGCACCATTCTAGGTGCCAAAGATACCACAGTGAAGAAAACAAAACGATCTGCCCTCAAAGAGCACATACACTGGTAGGAAAGAAAGAATATAATTACATGGTATATTAACCAGGAGATAAGCGGCATAAAGACAGTAAGGCACAGAAAGTTTTGAATGAGAACATGGGCTGTAGGGAGATATTGATGTATAGGGGGTGAGGGAAGGCCTCCCTGAGAAGATTTCACTTACAACAGAGAGGAGGGACTATGCAGGTAATCTGGTAGGGAAAAGCATTCTGTGCACTGGAAGGGCAAGCACCAAGACCATGGGTAAAGAGACATGCCTGGCTACACAGCAGCACAGAGAACTCATGGGTTGACTGGCTACCTAATCCCAGATCCAACCGTACCCCTGTACTCCTTCACGACGTTTAGTCAGAGTAGCCACACACACAATACCCCACTTCATAACAGCCTCAGTCTATGTAACTACCCTCTATAAGTTCACACAAGCAGTCAAGTAACTGATCTCTTGTTTCTCATTAAGAATGAGTTCATGGGCATAGTGGCACATACCTTTGAACTCAGCACTTGGAAGGCAGAGGCAGGTTGAGCTCTGTGAGATCAAGACCAGCCTGGCCTACATAGAAAGCTCTAGACCTGCCAGAGTTACAGGGAGACCCTGTCTAAAAAAAAAAAAAAAAAAAAAAACTTCTCCTAATGCTTTTCTCAGAACCCATCCCTGTCATTAAAGAACACACGACTAAATTCCATTATTTCACAGTTGGCACCCTGGTCTGTGACCTCCATCACCTGCCTCAACATTCAGTAACTCAGATTTCAGAAACAGAGAACAGTTTCTGTGTCAAAGTCAAAGCTATAATCAAGAAACTTGCCTGGTTCTCACTATAACAGAGAGACTTAATCCTGTGACAAGATAAAACAGCCAGTTATATGCCCAGCTCATTTGCATGGTGTTTATGTAACTTAAACCCTACCATAAAAATCATTTCACATAGTTCTCTCAAAAAGCTTATCGACAAAACAGAATCCTTACCCTTTAAGAGTTCACATACAACAATAAAGGAGGCAATAACTAACTAATAAAAGATTCTTGAAGTTTCCAGTAGGCCAGTTAGAAAAATTAGGTGTGGGGAGATTAATGACTGGCTCAGAGACACGCATGGGATGTCTGGCAGGGACAGTCCCGCAAGCAGTGCCGCCTGCACCCTCATACCCTCTCTGTGCACCCATCTCTCCCAGCAGTTATCTTTCTTCTCTATTCCCTCACCAAAGCCTCAGACCCTGAGAAAATGTTCATGCTTTAACCATCTTTTGATATGAAAAACTCAAGGCTGTTTGTTAACTAAAAGCCTTATTTTCACTCTTCTTCTCCACTATGAATAATCTTCAAATGTTCCACACAAATAAGAGGAAGAGGCTTTAACAGGATCCTTGGGTTTGCCATTGCCTGTGTTTTTTGTTTTAAAATTCAAGTCAGTTTGAAGGCAAGATATATTATCAGATTTCTGGCACAGTGATGGACTAATCTTAGATTTGAAAGAAAATTAGAAAACATAATGGACATACGCATGGCACTAATATCTACTCTCCAGGACAGAGAGAGCAACAGATATAGGGAGAAATAATTTTCAAAAAAACTTGTGCTGCAGAAGACTACCACTGACTAAGTGTTAGCGAATAAAAGGCTGTAGGGTCTGTGTCCCTGGACAGGACTCCTATACTAAACCTCACCTACCCACGGCTCAGGGACCATTGCGTGGAAAGACAATAAGAGCCAGGGTTGGTGCATGAACATGAGGAAACAGACTTCCAGGCCTCTGGTAACTTGCTCAGGAACTTTCAACAATGATGACAGCATGCTCAAGACCCATGCAGACTCAATCAGACAAAAACCAGCACAGAATGGGGGAAATGGGCATCAGGTCCCAACCTTAGCCATGGAACTACTGGCGATGATTACCGTAGGGTGAGGGAGAGTAGATCTTCTTTAAGGAAGTGACTCTAGATAGGCTAACTAGACTCTAGCTGATGAACTTACACTAAGGAACATCTGGATACAAATGCTTGACTGGATAGGGCTTAACACATATGACAGAATACCTGAAATCTGGTGGGGGACCTAGAGGAGGCTGGGAGGTAGAGGGGGACTAAATTTGATTAAGATGTATTATAAGAAATGCACAAAAACTGAACAAAAAATTCTCAGTCAAAAAAACTTGTGCAGAGGAGATAGCTCAGTCCATAAAGCGAGGACCTAAAAGTGCTGTCTAGAACCCGTATAAAAATTGGGCATGGTGGTTTAAGTTTACAATCCTAGTTCTGGAGAAGAAGAGGCAAGAGCATACCCAGGAATCACTGGGGAGCCAGCCTAGCCTATTTGGTGAGTCGCAGGTTCAATCAGAGACTGTGCCTCAAAAAGTAAAGGTATGGGAGACAGGTAAGCAGCTCTCTATGAGATTGAGGCCAGCCTGGTCTACATAGTAAGTTCCAGGCAGCCTGGGGCTACAGGGAGCCCTGTCCAAAAAAAAAGTGCAGGTGGATGGAATTTCTGAGGACTGACATCAGAGACTGCCCTCTGGTCTACAAACTCTCTCTCTCTCTCTCTCTCTCTCTCTCTCTCTCTCCTCTCTCTCTCTCTCTCCATGTACACTAGCACACATAAGTATTACCTAAACATACAAAAGCAGGTGAACACACAAAGAAAAACCTGTGCTGATAGGCTGTAAGTTACATTTGCAGTGAACATTTGTATTGAGACTCCTGTTACATCCTCACTCTTGAGAATTGGTTCACACTTCTCTGTTAATTCCCTCAAATTTTAGCAACTAAGATTTCTATTAAAAACCAAGGAGCTGGGGAAGATGGCACAGCCAGGAAAGTGCACATACTTGTAGCAGAGGCATGAGGACCTGAGTTCAGATCCCCAGGACCCACACAGAAAGCCTCATGTGGCAGTGCACACCTATAGTCCCAGCACTGGGGAAGTGAAGACAGGAGAATCCCAAGGCCTGCTGGTCAGCTAGTCTAGACATGCATGTGCTTCCTGCTCAGTGAGAGACCCTGCCTCAAAAATTAGGTGAAAAGTGATTGAGGAAGATGTCTGATGTTAATTTAACACTGGCCTTCACATCATGTACAGACACACAAACACACAAAACAATATAATGAATAGCAGCAATAGTGTCTTCTGAATATCTGAAGGCTTTTCATGACTAATGGTGGAATTTCATTTTTGCTATCAGAATGGCTGTCAAAGTAAAGTCCAAGGGCTACTCCAGACTCTCTTATTGGCTTGTTTCACATGTTTGCTTGAGTCTTAAAACTAATTTGTTTTTACTTTTTATTTACCTTAACTATTATTCTTTTGGCATAAATTTTCTTTCCAAAAGAATTTAATAATGTTAGCATATATAATATTTTTATTTAACAGCTAACTTTTCATAAATGTTAAAAAGCCTAAAGGAAAACATTCTTAAGACACTTTAAGAACAGTTTCTTTTTCTGAATGCAAGTTTCATATAACAATAGGAGTGAAACTCACTGTTATGCCTTAAACATACTAAGGCATAACATACTTAAATACTAAATGTATTGAAGGTAAAAGTTATCACACACTTTATATGTCGAACAAAAATATAAATCACTTAGTCATATAAGAGTTCTATTAATAACAATATCCAGATTCAATTCTTTAGTGGATATAATATGAAACTTTTTCATTCTCTTACTTAACCTCTTACCCTAAATGCAGGATTTGCTCCATGTTCCAGTAAGCTTTTCACAGCTCCTGAGCATAAGTTATATGCTGCAATATGCAGAGCTGTTCCAAAACTGAAGTCACTGCAAGTGGCATCCACATCTGCAATCAAACATCACAAGTTTAAAACTAGCTATCACAATTTCAAAGAAGAGGTTAGGTTTGATAGCAAAAGCACATTTTTAACCTTTTACAAGACTGAACCCAACTGATGCAGCATCTCTCGCTGTATTGTAACCCAGCTAAAACAATCAGTTGAATATTTTTCTAGCACAATATAATTAATTATAAAACTGAGTGACATATCATAGGTTTTCCAGCTGTCACAAACTAAATCATATGAAAGCAATGAATGATGATCATTTATCTTTGTGAAAGCAAATGGTTTGTCATGCCCTCACTAAACTCACGTGTATTTTCCTGTACAACCACGATAAGGTAGTTGACTTTAGGTCAGAGATCAGTCAACAAAAAACCATGGGCCAAACCCACCCTGCTGTCTGTTTCTCAAACCTGCTGGAACTCAGGCACACTCATTCACAGATGGGGTCTCTGAGCCCGCACTCGTGTTCCAACTGTAGAAATGAGGGGCTGTGACAGGCACCAGATGGTCTGAAAAGCTAAAACATTTATTCACCAGTTGGTCCTTTACAAAAAAAGATTGCTAACCCCTAAAGAATTCTCAAACCAACTAACTAGCACCTAAAAATGTAAGTACTCACACATATACTGATTTTTTTTTTTTAATCTTTTTGAGACGGGGTCTTCCCGTAGTCCCAGCTGTCCTGGAACTCACTATGTAGACCAGGCTGGCCTCGAATGCACAAAGAGCCACCTGCCTCTGCCTCCCAAGTGCTGGGATTAAATGCGTGCTCCACCACGCCCGGCTACATATTGATTCTTAACTTATTCAACTGATGAATTTGGACTTTATAAATAAGAAAAGCAATCTTGCAATTCTAAGGACATTTTAGTAACAATAAACCACCACTGTGTTATATTTAAATACAGGAAATCCTCCTAAAGGAAGAACCCTATTTTGAATGTTTTCTATAAGGACTTTCTATTTCTCTAGTTCTGCAATCCTGTTAATCTGCATGGGCCCACATGCTCTTCCTACCACTGCAAGCAATCCAAACCTGCTCGATACAAATTCTTACATTACTGAACCCAGAACCCTCAACAGAGACTCTCCTTCCAACACCGTTCAGAAACTGACAAGGCAGAATTTTAAAGAGAAAATGAATAATTATGCAAACCAGAAGTTAGAAACTAACATCCTGAGAGGTTCATTGATTGAATTTCTAAAACATGTCTTTTATGACCGGGGCAACACTGGACACCGTAACTTAAAAGGGACACGCTTCACTTGTTCTTATTTTTCTCCAAGAGAAGAACCAGTGTCAAGATGCCACGCCTGGGAAGGGTGCATTCTGACCTTTAGTTTTAGGGTATCACCAGCAAAATGGAGGGATCCTAAAATTTTACCTATTTATCCCAGAAGTTCATTCATTCTGAAATGAATGCCATCCAAATGAAGTCTCTTTAATTATTTCAGTGACAAGCTGGAGAGCTGTGTGGTTCTCTTCCTGGCTACCCAAGGAAGACAGAAGAATTACAAAATAAAAGGCTCCAATCACACATAAAATCCATCCTATACCAGATAATCTGCATTCACAGGAAGACCCAGGGAGTATTTTTTATTATTTATTTGTAACTCTACCAAGCCTTTTGTGAAAGGACAGAAATGAATCTTCAACAAAGAAATTTTAAACTACTTCAGAATTAAAGCAGAGCAGGAAAGTATACAAAACAAGTTACAACAGAAGAAAAGGTCTCCTTCAACCTGGTTGCGGTTACTGAACACTGCCCCATTAATAATGTCCAGTGCTGGGCTGATGACACTTGCCTTTTGGTTTCGATGTCTTCAAAATCACTCTTATAAGTTCAGGGACATCAAAGTAAGCAGCATAATGCAAAGCATTCATATTTGTCCAGCGGCTCCGCAAACTAGCGTCTGCTCCCAGGTCAATAAGTTGAACTGCAAATTTTACAGCTGTCTCAACATCACCTAAAGAAAATTTCTTTTCTTCAGTATGAATTCTAAGTGCCAATGCATACCTATCTCATATTTTGAAAGCCAAAGCAAACAGTACACTTGATCTATATTTATACTTCAAAAAGTTTACTTTTGGGAATTCATTCTAAGAAAACACTCATACTTGGGAAATGTGACTAAACACTTAGCTATCAGCAACACTGATTATGAATAAAATTCTGAGATAGCCTAAGAGATTGGTAAGAAATCATTTAACTAAACAGAGACATCCACACTATGGAATACTATGCCGCCATTAAAAGCAATATGCCAGACTAGTGCAAAAATATTTGGGCTTCTATTTTGTCTTGGTCTTGTTTATATATTATAAATTCATTTTTATTTTATGAAAATATCAGTCCATCACAGTAAAGTACGAGAGGCAGGTTTATAAAATGCTGAAGCCCGGGAGAACAGCAATTTTGACATATGCTGCAGGCATGTTCATAAGGAGAACAGACCCCAGAACTAAGCTGAAAGCCTGTGGTCCTGTAAGGACAGCTATGCCTAGAAATCTGGTCTTGAATCAGCCTTGCTTGAGAGCCCTCATGAAGATCCTAGGACAGGACAGTTAGTCTCAACTGCTGGGCAATTTGCCATGAAGCCTGCAGTAGAAAACATTGAGAGGTAACCATAAGGTATAAAGACTTCCCTGAGAAGAAGAACAAAGTTTTGGTGGGCCTAACATTCCTTTACCTGCTCAGTAGGATTATTATTGTCAGATTGGTGCCCCATCCATGTCCCCTGCTGGCACACAAAAGATTACACAGGCACACATAAAGAGTGCAGAGCAAGCAACTGACCACCACATACTCACCAATACCATGAGCTCCAGACTTGCAAGTATAATGTAACAAAGTCATGTCTGTCAGTCCATCTCTGTCATTCACATTGCAGCCTCTCTTAAGAATCTGAGAAAGCCCAGAGAAACCGGATTACAGCATCGCCACTGAAGTAGCAGTGCTTTCAGATCAACATGGTTAGTATATCTGATCTGAACTGCGCTCCACATGGCACTCGGCAGTAACAAAATGGAATTCCTTACCAGGCACAAGGACATTATCAACGATGACTCCAACATAATGTTACTCCAAATAGGCTCCTCTCAAAACTGAGCAAAAGCATTTTCCCAACCATTACAGTGATATTTGAAAATTTTTATGTGCTTTCATATGACAACATGTGAGTCAAAAAACTCTCCCACAAGAAACCAAACACACTTTCCAGGTATGATGGTGCGCACTTTTTGTTAACCTTTACTTGGGAGACAGAAGCAGGCGCATCTCTGAGTTTGAGCCCAGCCTGGAAAACATAGGAAGTTTCAGGGCAGCCTAGTCAACATGAGACCCTATATATCAAACATTTGAAATATATATATATGAAATGTATTATATACAGGAATTATATTTAAACCTAGATCATGACCAAACTATCCAAACGTATAGAAAGAACCTGATGGTAATCAAAACCTTCATGAAATGGATAAAGTTTGCAAAACTAATCTATACAAAGAAGGAAATGTGCAAAATGTCTCTCCCTGCTCACACCCAAAGTCTGCAGTGACAGTGGGCAGGTGCCATAGGGAACGGCAGGCTGGAATGGGGTGGGAAACATGCACAATGCCCCACCCACTGCTCCTTGGAAACCTGGAAATGCAAAACGTCTGTAATGGGCTTCTCCCAATGGGACCTTTCCCTTCTAAGGCAGAAATAACCATTGTTAACAGTCCCAGGTAAGCAAAGCTTAATATAAAGGATGTGTTTACCTCATTTCCAATAATGTCAATGTTTTGCTGGACTTGAGGAACCCATTGCCTTAAAATGGCAAATAATTCTGAGACTGAAGTTTTGGGATCAAAGAGAATTTCCTGGCATGATGCATCATTAGGATCAAAGAAAGAAAACTCTGAAATATAAGATAGTATAAATTAAATTTATTAATGGCTTCAAATATATTGACGATAGTAATACCAAGATTCAAATGATACAAGCATTTTAGAGGCTAGAAAAAGCAGGACAACATTAAGCAATTCTCAAAACCATAAATGGGACACCTCTTAAACTGACAGTGAGATGCCCAGCTATCATGCACTTCATCATGTATAAAATCAACTGCACATGCACAACCTCAAAGCCTGGATTTTTCAAAGATGATTTCTAAGACACAGACACATCAAGTTTTAGTAATATTCTTCTCTGAAAATATAAATGTCACAGATAGTAGGGTCCTGTCTATGAGTAAAACATAAAAAAGAAATGTACTTAGTAAATACACTAGAAAAACTTGGGCCTCCACATGCTCCCTTTACTCTTCTGTAATTAATAATTTTCCTAAACAAGCCACCCTGTCACCCTTGCTTCTTGGATAGGTCTGAGGGGATGTGCCATCCAACTGATAAGGAACTAATATCTGGCAATGCAGAAAAGAGGACACAAAGTGACTGGATTATTTGGGAATCTGCATTAGTAAAATCAAGGAATACAAGACAAAAACTGAAGGAGCACCTAAAGATTTCTTAACATGGGGCTGGAGAGATGAGTCAGCAGTTAAGAGCACTGGCTGCTCTTGCAGAGGACCCGAATTTGATTGCCAGCACCCACATGGTGGCTAACAACCATCCATAACTCCAGTTCCAGGGGATCCAATGCCCTCTTCTGACCTCCACTGGCACTGTATGACATAGGTGCACTTATATCCAAGCAGGCAAAACACTCATACACATAAAAATAATAAACTATTTTAAAAGATTTCTTAACATGTCTTCCTTAAGGTTTAGTGAAAACCAGGAACCATTCTAATAATAAAAGACTGTCTCATGAAGAACACTACATTTCAGATGAAGAAAATCAGATTCTATTGTCTTAATCAAAAAAAAAAAGGTAGAGAATGTAAAAACCAGGAAAATATAAAACCAGGAATCAATATTTGCTGAATAACTACAATTTACCAAACTATAAATCCCCCCAAATTAATATCCTCATTTTGCATAAGGGAAAATCAAAGCATATCCAGATAACATTCCTGCTCAAAGTCACACAGCTGAGAAGTAGCAGTGTGGGGTGGAAACCTGGTCAGTCTCCAAAGTCTGTCTTCTTGCCTCAATTACACTCCTTCATTGCAATAACTCACTGTTGAGTTCAGATTGTGACAGCAGACATAGTACTGGGATTCATGGTCTTTAAGTTTTTTTTTCTTTGTACTTTTAAATATCTTCCAAGAGATAGCATGTACACATAATTCCTACTTTTATAGGCAGGATAACAAAACAGTGAAGAAAAGGCACAGAACCAGGCATTTACACAAGTGTAACAGTGGTCCATTAGGAGAGAATCAGTTCTCCAATTCTGTGCAGATTCTTTGCTGCAGCCTCCTGCTGATCAGTCTACTCTGTTCGTGTAGGGAAGGAAGAAAACCTGTGTTTCGGAGAAGCTGTTGAAAACTGAGACCTCTCGAAGTTAAGACCCCATAGAGAAACCAAGAGTGGTTCATACACAACTGTAATCCCAGTGCTTGGGAGGTAGAGGCAGAAGGATCAGGAATTCACAGCCTGCCTTGGCTACATAATAAACATAGTAAACTTGAGGCCAGCCTATTAAAAAAATAATAAATGAGAGAAAAAATGAATAAATGAATGAATGAATCCAAATCAAGAATGTGTTCCACTTGATCCAAAATCAGCTGTGGATCAATTATCTTATGCCTTTCTGGAAAAATGGGTGAAATTTATAAAGGAGAACTTGGAATTGCAGTGCCAGCTTTGAGAAACTTTTAACCTAGGTAAGATAGTCTACTTTAAGGGTACCTTTGAACAGAAAGGATCCTGAACCTCTCAGAGACAATGGAACGCATGCTTTGATTTGTATGTACAAGTTCTAAAAACTCAATGACTCAAAAATAGCATTTCTAAAAGGACTGTTAAGAGTATGCAAATGAAAGATTTGTCCATCAGCATGGGTAACCTTGGTATCCTGCCAGAAACACAAGGACTATCTACTAGGAAGCCCTGTATTGTTACTGTACCTGAAACATCTAAAATTTTGAAAAGAAAACTGTAATGGTACTGGGCATGGGTGGTGCATGCCTTTAATCCCAGCACTCAGGAGGCAGAGGCAGACCTCTCTGCAAGTTCAAGGCCAACCTGGTCTACATAGCAAGTTCCAAACCAACAGACTACAGGGAGACCCTGTCTCAAAAAGACCAAAAAAAGAAAGAAAGAAAAAGTCTAATATTTTATGCTTATGTCTGTGTGTTAAATAGATATGAGTAAAGGCAAGTGCTTACATTGCTTACATAAACTATTCCTAAAACTCCCATATTATTAGGAACTAATTCAAATGCTCCTCAGGGATTGATCTGCATACATGAAAATCCTATTGGTGGGAACTGAAGATGGCTCAGCGGCTACAGGCACCTGATCTTTCAGAGGACCCAAGTTCAGTTCCTAGCACCTATGTCATGTGACTCACAACCACCTGTAACTCCAGCTCCTGGGGATCTGATGCCTTCTTCTGGCCTCTCTGGACACCTACACAAAGTCCACACTCAGACACACACATAACTTTTTTAGCTATTTAAAATATCTTGAAATTTTTGAGTCATCTAAATATAGTTGTTTAAAAAAAGCAAGTGAATTAAGCTGATCTAAGTTCACATATGATAAAATAAAAATCAACTGCTAAACCTATATTTATCTATCTTGGGACTGAGTAATGAAGGATTATCTGGGTTTAGAAAATACATCCTGTGCTACACTGAAAAGCTGCACAATGAGGAAGCATGCATCTAGAAAGCATGAGATGGTGTGTTCCACAATCTAAATGAAAGCACAACAGTTAAGAAAAGGTACTAAGTACAAAGATAACATTCATGAAAAAGACAAAACCATACAGGAAGTCAGAAAGGCAGAAAGACTCTTAAGAGATCATACTGGCTAAAACTTGAATGACTCTGTTATTAACTTCACACTGATAACATCTTTGGGTATTGATCTGCTATTCTCAGAGTCTGAAAGGTTTTTGTATAACTTTTGAGTAGTCCTCCTAAGAAATGAAGACTCTGTGTTTATCAAGATAATTTTCTGTGCCTTGTGTTGCCTGTGTCAGGTCTTTGATTATTTCAGGTTTTTAATTAAAAGAGCCAAGGGTTTTTGCTCATCTTCTTTGAAACCACATGGATTTTTGTATTTGTCTTTGAAATTTTTGTCACTTTGGTTAAATGGATAAATGTGACCCTATTTAATAAATCTCTTGACAATTTCATTTTACAAACGTATCAAAACTCAAATTCTAAAGTTATTTTGACCTTACATTAACTTTGGGATTTTTCAGAGGGATCTAAAATTTTCCAAAGATTTTCTTCTCTTTCC